CATCCCCTCTCGCGGCCTCCTCCTCCGTCGGCTCCTCCTCCGCTAGGCCACCATCAGATCTGAGAAGATCTGAGAAGATCCCAATTAGAATGGGCAGATCTGTCTCAATTTCTCTCCTCCTCCGCCAGGCCACCGCCAGGCCATGGCAGATCTGTGTCTTTTTTTTTCTTTTTTTTTTATTATGTTTTTGTTGATGAAAATGATGTTGTTGATGATCAATGATGTTGTTGATAATGATAAGCTCAACAGAGAGAGAGAGTTACGGGGATTTTTCGGGGTCGGGAAAACCCGATCCCCGTTGGGGACGGGGGTGGGGGGTGATGGGATCCCCGCTGGGGATCGGGATCGGGGACGGGTACGGGGAGGGCGATCCCCGGCCTCGCGCCGCCCCGTTGCCATTCCTACCTCCAAATTCAAACTTAATAATGTGTGGCATGTTCCACAAATTTCATCTATTTTGCTTTATGTTCATCAACTCACATTAGATAATGCTTCCACCATTACATTTATTGATAAATCATTTGTTATTTAGGACAAACACAGCAACCAAGTTCTATGTAGAGGTCATCATCAGAATGGTCTCTATCAGTTCCTTCCCTTTCATTTTGATCACTATTCAAAGGTTTTTTCTAGTATTAGTTCTCCAGCTGCCACTTGGCATAAGAGACTAGGGCATCCTTCTTCAGATGTTTTTCATCATATAGCTAAAACTAGTGGTTTTTCCATTTCTCATAAAGACTGTTCTTCTTTTTGCAGTCATTGTTGTGTCTCAAAGAGTCACAAACATCCTTTTGTATTGACTAATACTAATTTCAATGTTCCTCTTACTTTAATTCACTTTGATACCATGAAGAAAATAGAGAGAGAGAGAGAGAGAGAGAGAGAGAGAGAGAGAGAGAGAGAGAGAGAGAGCAAAAAAGATATTTTCTATTATTTCATTATGAACTCAACTACTCATAGAAGCCTTTGATCAATGTATACATGGAAACAAAACAAAGTATCTCTAGATTAGTTATAGATTCTAACTAACTACGTTTGTTATAGAGGAGAGGATTGTGTACTACTATCTTACATCCTTATGATAGTTTTATAGGTGTGTTATTGTTGTCATTGCAGCTTTGTCTTCAGTAGCCTTAGTTGTGGTTATGGTTCCTGAGGTGATAGTGTCTAGGAGCCAGGTGTGGGGACATAATTTTCGACATGTCCACGTGGCATGACCTTGGCCTGAAGTGCCACATGGTGGAATGTGATTGGCTGAGGTATGAAAATGATCCATGTCTAGGCTGAGCTATTTGGTGAAAGACAAAAATCCTAGTGAATGAATGACTCCTAGGTTGGGTGTATTTAGGACTCTTTTGAGAGGTTAACCGTAACCTAACTGGGAGAGATGAATCATCTAGTATTATTTCTAAAAGGAATAAGTGTTCGACTTGATCACTACTTCTAGGAGGACACCTTTATATAAGCACCCCCATGTGTGAGAGGTACGTGAGTTTATGCGTGTTTATTTGAGTTACCGTTAATTTGTCAAAATATCTTGGGATATTAATTTACTGACTTTATCATCAAAGTGCCCTCTCAGTTGACAAGCAATCGAGTTAGTTATTCTTCTAATTGTGCAGATGTGGATCTATATAGGTTGCGTGTTCTACAACTGTGTTCCCAGAATTCTAGGAGGAAGATCAGATATTGGTTGTGTGGTAAAATTTTAGCACACACATACTCCATACACTTTATTTTTTGATAATTTTTGAATTACTTTTATATACTTATTAGATCACATGAATATTGTTACTCAATACATAGATATATATATATATATATATTCCAAAAAAAATTACAAAAATTAAAATTGAAAATGAAATATGAAAAAACATAAAATGCTATATGCTTAGTTAAATTAAAAAATGAAAAAAAAATGAAAATGGAGTGAAAGAAACTGTATTTTGTTCTAGTTAGGTTAAGAATATGAAAAAAAAATGAATTAGATAATAGTACAAAAATAACCATTTTTGTTTAATTAATTTAATTTTGTTTTCCCTGTAAACATTATCCAAATGTAGCATAAATATTTGGAAAATGCTATGGACCCCAAATAAATTACCAAATTTTCTACCAAACCTCTCACATAGGTGTGGGACCCACACAAATCACGTGTGTAGGTCCCATACCCATGTAAGAGGTTTGGTAAAAAAATTCGGTAATTTATTTGAGATCCCTAGCATAACTCTAAATATTATTAAAAAATTTAATATCAATTTTTTTATGCAATTATCTTAAATATATGTAAATAAAATATATAACTTATAAGGATAAATTACAGTCACCTCGATTGAGGTTCTCGACAATCACACTGATCTCTCCTTCTTTTTCTAAAATTACATTGACTTTCCCAATGATTAATGGCGTTAATGAGAGGGTTAGTTTAGTAATTTTAACATTAGAGATTTTTTTGTTAATAAACATTAAATATGCGATTATTATTTTGGTTATACCTTATGTTGTGTTTGGTTATGAGTCATTTTTTTTAGTTCTGACTAAAAAAAAATTAGTTATAATATTTGTGGTAATCAACACCACAAATGTTATAACTTGCATATGTTACATATAAAATGGTATGTATTTTATAAGAGCAGTGCTAGGTAGCCCGAGAAGGAGGTTGGCTCGAATGGCTCAAAATTCACCTTTCCGGTCGTCTAGCGAGAAGGTTGACAGCCGCGGTCAACAAAGGTAACCGCGGTAGACAAGTTTTGACCCGGTCGTCCGCGTGGACATCCGACATACACCCATTCGAGCCCCTCCTTTTCGGGCTCTCCAGCATTTTTGATTTTAGAATAACCTATTGTTATGACAAAAGTGATGATAAAACAAATTAAAAAATTAATTATATAAATATAAGAGAAGTTATTTGGTAGTTTTTAATCAATACTTGACATCATACAGTTTAGTTGTCTTAAAAAAAAAAAGATAAAATTGATGAGTCTTACTATCTTCTTCATTTTTTTTTTTTTTTTTTTTTTTTTACAAAGGTTTTTTCTTAAAAAAACCAAAAGAATGTAAAAAATTAAATTTAAAAAAAAAAAAAAATGCCCAACATGTAAAAAATAAAAAATTTC